AGCTATACAGTTAGATTTTTACTGATTATTAGTGCTTATACTTATTTTTTTATAACTAACCAAAGTTAGTCGTGATCTATTTAGAAAAAGATGTTGGCTTTCTAAAAATATGTATTTTGGCTTATTTCAAAAAAGTAAATAAGTTACAGCCATTTCTGTTGCCGAAATAAAAAAATGATTCGTAGTAACATTGAACAATAACTAAAAACTAATGAACTACTAAATGGAATTTGTAATAATTTCGAAACCACGTAAAAAATATAATTTGCCAAATGAAACAACAAACGCAAGCAAGCGACAATTATTCAATGCCACTAGAAAGTATTTTAAAGAATTATAGAACATAAGTATTTATCAAGGGCAGAGCTGAGAGTATTTAGAAAAAAAAACAAATAGTACTTTAAATATAAAATAGTTTGTGTAATTTGTATTTAAAAAAGTATTTAAAATCTTCTAAATACTCTTGAGTATTTAAAATACTCGAAGTATTTAAAATACTCAAAATACGTACCAAAAACAAATACTTTTTACCTATTACGATTGGCGATTGGTACAACACGTGCTAAAAAATTACGCACCTTGTACGCCTGGATTTAGCGCATTCTACTCTGCATTCTGCAATGTGCATTGTGTTATTGCTATTCTGTCTACTACCTTTTAGGTAACTATCATCACTAGTCAAGCATCAAAATTTCTATTCTAAGAAAAACTTAATAAAAAATTATGAGTGAATTAAATATTCTGTATCTCAGTGATCCAAATGAAAATATTTATTTCCAGACTCATGTCTAGTTTTTTTAAAATTTTTTGATCTGGATTGCCTTGCACAACAATATATTTTTTAAGTCGCCTCTTAAAAGTTTCAGATTTAATATTTCACAAAAATATTTTAAATACTATTAATGAATATTTTCAATATAGGTATTTAATATTCAACATACTTAAAATACTATTTTAAATACTAAATAATTTATATTTAAATTACTTTGCCAAAGAAGTATTTTGTTTTTAAGTGTTTTAAATTACTTTCGTACTAGTATTTTGTAATTTGTATTTTAAAAACATTTTGAAAGTATTTTGCCCAGCTCTGATCAAGGTCAATCTGAAACATTTGTTTCAGACGTCAATTATGACTTCAGTATAATGTTCAATAATTTGAGCACGGTTTAATTAAATAAAATGTTATATTTTTAGAATAAATGTAACGTTTTTGTCTAACTTTCAATTAAATAAATGTGTACTATTTGATGATACATATGCTTTATACGAAAGAGCAAGACATCCTTTTTTTATTTATCTTGTTTTTCGCCATAGTCAACAGTGGCACGTAATTCTGTTTGGTTTAGTTCATTACCCGGATCCATACTAACGCAAACACAATTCGGTGTAAACAGTAGCATGTGAAATCAGTAACTGCCACCAAATATATTAAGCTTAGTCCAGGATAAGGGTAAGCGTAACAAAAAATGACACTTAAAAAATTAAAAAAGATGATGTTAACTATTAATTTAGGAATGGCATTTAAAATGTCTGCAATTTCACTAAAAAAATTGCCAACTTGTGGGAAAGCCGCAACTTCTATCTTATACAAAAACACAGGCACACAAAAAAAAGAAAAGTGGCATATTTCAGAGAGTAGCGCTATGTATCCTTACGTACTTTGATGCACCGAATTCGAATCCGGGCCAGAATTGCTCCATCACACTTCATTTTTTTTTAAATCGCGAAAAAGAGATGTCGCGGAAAAGAAATTCTACACTAGGGGGTATAGCATTTAAAACAATTGTAAAAAGAGATTGGAAGTTACCGCAGGATCATATTTATATGTATTTTGACGTGAATCCATTTTCTTTACTCCTTTTTCCTTTTGTAATGAACTCTTTTATCTTAAAATGATCTATGCTACGGATTTCTATTTCTTTTCTGTATTTTTGGCTCGTTTTCCCTTTTAAGCATCCAACCAAAATCTGCCATCACATTAAAATTCCACCTTCCTTGGGACTGACACTCCATTTCCTTGATATATTGGTAAAACCGTTTACCCTGTTCTTCGCGATAGTCTCCGAGGTTTTTCGGAAATTAGTCGATGAAAATCTAGGCAATTTGAAGTTCATCAAGTAACCCTGTTTGAAGTTGTTCAACAATTCCGCAGCTAAATTCTGGTAATCCTCATTTAGGCCAATCATTATAGCTTTTTTTCAGGAAAGAAATACTATTAGAAGTTTTTCTGTGGAATATTGTTCAGAAACGTGTTATAAACAAAATATCAAAAAATCAACTCGAGACTAGTTGGGAATCTTTATTAAAACAATGGTCAAAATTATGAAGAAATAGTTTTTCGACTGGCGTAAAAAAACTGTTATTCATAGAGAAAAAAATGTTTATACAAAAAAGGTAGGTATTAAATAAATCTGTAAAATAAGACAAGTCCGATTAAATTCCGATAATTTGTTTATGCGCAAGAGCTCAAAAATGGTCGAAATTGTCCGCTTTTTTCAATTGCTAATAATTAATGCAATTTTCATCGCAGACACTTGTAATTCAGGATTTTTGAAGCTTTTTGCACCCTTAATAAGTGGTAAAAATTTCAGCCCAAAAACTTCATTAGCTTGGCGTTGGCGGAATTTGTTATCTAAGAAGATGCTATTTTCAATTCATTTTTCCCAAGCTCACAGGCGTTGTAGGGTTTCGATCATTAGTTGTTTTTGTACCTAAATAGTTGTATTGACATATGCATTTACTGATAATTTAATTTTTCAAATTTAATTTGTTTAAAAATGACTGAAAAAATGTTAATATTTATTACATCGTTAAGCGCGCATGCTAAGCCTCGCCTTCCCCACTCGTTCGCTAGACCAAGTAATAGAACGCATCGCCGCTATCTTCTTTTTCGAAATTAAATAGTTGAATTCACCTTAATGTTAATGTAGGACATGAAAATATAGCTCTTAATGTATACTCTCTCCAAATTTCGGCTCTTAATATTAATAATTAAGGTCACTGCGATTAAATAAATAAAAAAAATTATCTCAGCTTCTAATCAACTTACAACAACGATTTTTTTTTAAATTCGAAGAAAACTAAAGTAAAGAGGTTACTATTTTATTTTATAATAATTACCTATCTTAACAATTTAATAAATATTAACATTTTTTCAATCAATTTTAAACAAATTAAATTTGAAAAACTAAATTCTCAGTAAATGCCTATGTCAATACAACTATTTAGGTACAAAAACAACTAATGATCAAAACCCTACAACGCCTGTGAGCTTGGGAAAAATGAATTGAAAATAGCATCTTCTTAGATAACAAATTCCGCCAACGCCAAACCAATGAAGCTTTCGAGCTGAAATTTTTACCACTTATTAAGGGTGTAAAAAGCCTCAAAAATCCTGAATTACAAGTGTCTGCGATGAAAATTGCATTAATTATTAGCAATTGAAAAAAACGGCAATTTTCGACCATTTTTGAGCTCTTGTGCATAAACAAATTATCGGAATTTAATCGGACTTTTTTCATTTTATAGGCTTATTTAATACCTACCTTTTTTGTATAAACTTTTTTTCGCTATGAATAATAGCTTTTTTACGTGAGTCAAAAAACCACTTTTCCATAACTTTGACCACTGTTAAAACAAAGTTTCCCAACTAGCCTCGAGTTGATTTTTTGATATTTTATTTATAACAGGTTTCCGAACAATATTCCGCAGAGAAACTTCTAATAGTATTTTTTTCCCCGAAACAGGCTCTTTCATGTCTATAATGACTGGGCTAATTCTTCTGATTACTCAAGAAATTCTGAGGGACTTTCTTAAAGACAGCCATGCTGCTGTTTCAATATCATTTAATTTTATGACAAATTTTTCGTGTCTGAACACGGCACGGATTTGAGGATTTCAGATTAGCATCACTTATTTCCAGAAACTTGCCTCCTAAATGTCCAAAACAGTCGCCATCTTTGTCAATCACTTTAACAAATTATTTTATAAGACCAAATTTAATATGGAGAGGTAGAAACAGAATATTTGAAGGTGCAACTAAGAGTTCGCAGTTGGAAAATATTGCAACCCTGGATGGAAATTTGTTCTTTTTGGCCATACTTTTTGTTCATAGTGATTATTTCTATTTCTACTGCCTTATAGACAAAAGAAACAGGGATTTTTTAAATCCTGACTGCTGTCCAAAAATCAGGATTGAAATCTTAAGATCGCCGCATTTTTCATTGGTGTACAGGCACAGACAATAAAATGGCTTCCAAAAGAATACAGTAAGAAACGAAATTCGTTCAAAGGGTCGAAGGTTTATCGCCTAAGATTCTCAATTGAATTTTATCATTAGAAATTTAAAAAGAAGTAAAGGAAATAATGGAATTACTTTGTGTATTTCGTTTCTCAAACTGCTGACGAAACCCATCAGTAAGGAACCAGCAGTTTGTACCCTAGACACAGTATTGAAACCGAAAATTAATTAACCTTTAGATATACATATTTGTACGTCATAAACGCTATCTGCTAGAGGGAATGAAAGATGAAGTTGAACTGCCTCTAGTTTTGAAAAATAGAACATTCCATATTTTCTGTTGGTATTTATGGACGGTTTATTACATTAAAACAAATTTTTGGTTAATAAAGCAATTCTAGCCGTGAATCCGGATTTAAGGCATCGAAATACAGATAAATCCATATTTATCTGCAGGACAATTCCTGCAGTCATTTCTAGTCGGTATCTACAATTGTACCTAATGCTGATCTCTCCCAAAGAGAGATCTTCCGAATTTTTGTATTTAATGGTGGTTTTTCGGGATTTAAAAGAAAGTGGAAGGTAGATAGAGCAATTTTGGCCGGATTCGGATTCAGCGCGTCAAAATACATAAGTCTTTGAAATAGACCACTTTTTTTTGTGTCCCTGGGTAATCGTTATACCTTAGCCCAGCGACATCGAAAGTGCGGTATACTGTACATACATTCAGTTAACTTAATATTGTTGTTCGCTGTTTCAGGTGACGAGCAATTAGCTAAAAAGTGTGATATTTTACATCAAAAATTAGAGTTGTTATTAAAAACGTTAACCAGCGAACAAATAGATGCGAATAACTTATCGAATCTAGACGACGAAAGCCATAGTTCAACTAAGCACACGGACGACACGGACAGCGAGATGTCATTCGACAAAGCGAAGTCGGAGAAGTGCGAGAAGGATCTCAGCAATTTTAATTTCAGGAAGCACAGGCGGACGTCGAGGTGAGTTATTTTTCCCGGGCTGGAACGTTATATCTTTTATCAGGTGGTGCAAGTGGAACAATTTTATGAGGCGGATGCTGGCGCGAATTCAATTAAAACCTAAATAGTGCAAATGCCTCATCAATTTAGTTTCATTCACAGACCCAGACGCTATTGAACAAGCTCGGAGCGCGAACCAAATTAAAGACTCCGGAATATTGATTCGTTAAAGTTTAACGTTGAAACTAAAATATTTGTTGCAATTACGTTTGAAGATACGGTACACGTTTATCAAAAAATTATATTTAAATTATTAATAGAACTGTGATCTATAGCTTTATTAGAGCTGCAGCAATTTCAAGAGAAAATTTAATTGGATTTAAGTAGGCCATATGAAGATGGGTACAGACTGAGCAAATATTGTAGAATACCTGTTGTGGAAGGCTAGCAACAGTATCAACTGATGAACTTAAGAAAGAAAAGCGGTTTAGAATAAGTTCGAATAGATCCAAGTATCTTGTTGTTTAAATATTCTGTAGTAGTTTGCCTCCAAGGCTTTAGCTATATAGGATGGCCCAACGAAAACGTAACAGAGCCCATAGTGGCTAGGAAAAACTTTTTTTGGAAAAAAGCAAAAACCCGTCGATTTTGTTTACGAGGGGGACATCTTTTTGCATGAATTAGATGGTTCTAATTGCTACCCCCCGAGCGGGGTAAACATCCCCTCCAAATTTTTAAATAGTAAGGGTAGTCAAGTTGCATATCGTTGAAAAGCTCTTTTGATTCTCTACACAGTCATGGGTCCCTTTTGAAAATCAACGCATTTTTTTAAAGATAAAGGGTGCAGAACTTAACACATACAAAATTTCCTATTATCTCTACAAATTATTCTCTAATTAAAATTCGCTATCGAGTTCGCTATTAATTTGAAAATCATTAAGTTAAAGAAGCGTCTAAACATATCCAAATGGCTGGAAATAATTGACCAACAACTTCCATTCAACAATAAATAATTTTACGTGAACTATTCTCATTACTTACTCCAACGTGTTGTTAGATTATTTGCAGTTATTTCTTTCACAAATTCCACTAAAAACGGTATAGATAAGAGACTATTTTTCAGTCAGCGATTTTGTCGTAAAGTGGTGTTAGTGGTTTTAGTGGCTGTTTCGCATTAAATACAAAATAATTAAAAATGGTTTATTCGATGCAAGAGAGGGTGGAAATAATTGAATTATTTTATAAAAATAACGAATGTGCTTCGAGTGCAGCTCAGTTGTTTACTGAACGACATGCCAATAAACCCGTCCATCGCAAAATTGTCTTGGTGTTAGTAAGAAAATTCCGGGAGACGGGATCTGTGGGTAATAAAAAGCGAAACAATGAACGTACTGTACGTAATGAAGCTGTGGAGGTTGCAGTTCTGGGACACGTTGCTTTAGATCATAAGCTAAGTACACGGTAATTGGCTTCTGTAAGCGGTGTAAGTCGGGGTAGTGTACAACGAATTTTAAAACATTACAAGTTCCAGCCTTATAAAATTCACCTTCTCCATGAACTTCACGAAGATGACTTTGACCGCCGGGTACAATTTTGCGAGGTCATGACTGAACGGGCGATGCATAATCCAAATTTTCTTTTCAACATTTGTCTTTCCGATGAGTGCAGCTTTTTCCTAAATGGCACCGTCAACCGCCATAATTGCCGTTACTGGGCAGACTCCAATCCAAGTATATTCCACGAACAGCATACTCAACACCCAGACAAATTAAATGTTTGGACTGGTATCTATGGTGATTCCCTTGTTAGTCCTTTTTTTATAAATGGTAATTTGACTGGTGATATGTATTTGGAATTGCTGCAAGAAGCCATTGATCCAGCCTTAACGGTAATTGTGGAAAACAATAATGATTACCTCGGAGATGAACTGATGTTTCAGCAAGACGGGGCTCCCCCCCCCCCCCCCTATGCCCCCCATGTGCGCGAATTCTTAAACCATACATTTCCGAATCGTTGGATAGGTAGGAGAGGAAAACCAAAATCTATGCCACCCAACCGGACTCTCTTGCATGGACGCAGGGGGCCAACATTTTGAACATTTACTGTAATAAAAATTTGCTTTCAAAACCCTGTATCTTTTACAAAAATAGGCTGATTTTCAAAAGTGGCACATGACTGTGTAGAGAATTAAAAGAGCTTTTGAACGATATGCAACTTGACCACCCTTCCCATTTAAAAATTTGAAGGGGATGTTTACCCCGCTTAGGGGGTAGCAGTTAGAACCATCTAATACATTCCTAGCCGCTATGGGCTCTGTTACGTTTTCGTTGGGCCACCCTGCATTATTAAATGTGTTTATACGTGTGTTTTTCTCTCATTAGTAAGTTCAATCAAGGTTATCATTTTTACTAAAAAAATTAAGAACAGAAGACCTGAAATATCTAAGAATCTTATTAGTCTCATAAACATATTATATGTCCTTCTGGTTCTGGACTTTTCTAAACTGTTGGTTTACCTCAGTTTTCAAGTTATGTATTTTTCGTTGAATTTCGGTCTCTAGTCCCATTAGGATCTAGAATTGTTTTAATTTTATATATGTAAAATTAAAAAATCAAGTTCTGTTAATAATGAATTAAACTGAAGGACGAAAACAAGTTTAGCTCATTGATAAAATAAAAAATGACGTGTGACTGAGAATTTATTTCTTATTTCAAGAGTTAAGCAAAGTGCGACAAAAAAATAATTGATGTTTTTTGTCACATTTCTTTCAGTATGCTATACAGGATGATTCAGTCATAATGCCTTTAATTTTAAGGGCAGATAGAGAAAAATTAGTAAAATACGAATACGCGATTAAAAAAAATTTAATGCATATTTACGCAAAAGAAATATCTTCAAATCATGATTTAAACCCCTTTCCGAACCACTCCTGCACATTGCCAAATTTAAACATTTTCCTAGTATTAGCCATCATAAATAATAACCGGTTGTATTGACAATTTTAGATTTTTTCTTTTTCACTTCAGCCAATAATATTTTAAAATGTTAAAATATGTAATGAACGATATAAATCATTTTTTAAAAGTATGCAATTAACATATTAAATTGCCCAGCAAGGACCTCGAGGAGGTATGAGCATGCCTTGTCAAATAAACAGTTTTTTATTAACATATTAATTTTCCAAGCAGTGACGGCTGGTGAAATTTCTAGTATGCCATACCTCAGTAACCAGACATGGGACATATATAGTACTTTTGTAGAAGGAGACCGATTTCACAATTTGCGAAAACAATTTGAAAATGAAAATGCGGTATTTGCATTTCGTAAACATTCTCCATATAAAATCACCATTTCCGCATATTCAGAATACGCAAAATTAGCCATTACGACCGACACGCGAAATATTCTAAAATAAACTGCGGGTTGTATTGCATTCTGCATACTTTCTATAATCTCCATATGTGATCTCCAAATTTTCGGGAAAACAATACGGAAGATACCATTAAGGATGGTAGGTTTGAATATTTTATTATTATTTATGTGGTTCTGATGATTCGTTTCAATGTTCAAATGCTTTGTTATCCGCCAGGGGAATATTTTTTTTCAATTTTCTGTCTTTATTAGGCTGTCCGAGTACATGGTTAAAATTAATAACGTTATGATTGAATCACCCTGTATAAAATAATAAGAAAATAAGAGACAAAATTGTAGTAGCAGGTAATACAGGATGGAAGATCAAAAATATTAGCTCTACCTGTTCTTATTGCTAGAATAGTTGCCGAATAAATTGAAAAACTGAGCAAAAGTTCATTGTATTTCAAACAAATCAAAGTTGAGGAATATAAGAAAAAATACATTTTTTTCTTTTTGTCACTGATTCATGTACTTTGCTCTATAAAATGGTAAAAAAAATGTACAGGAAAAATTTTCTGATGCAATAAATTAATAAAAATCATTTTTTCTAGTATTTTACAATTGTCACTGATTTGAGTTCTTAATGCAAATGAAAATAAAAAATTAGTAAGAAATATGAATTTTTTTCTGGACCTCGTTAAAATATTTCAAAAGTGTCCGGACCCCACCTAAAATTACTTGCCGACCCCTGGTCTAGAGTTCTAGAGCGTGGCTCAGGATTTTTTTTTAAATTACCGTCTAGGTTACGTCACTCTATGATTACGGTATATAGAGTTAGCATTGGACAACCCTGTATAATACTTTAGTTTACCCATAAATAAAATAGTTAATAAAATTGAATAAAATCATAATATAATAAAAAGTATGTATTTTTTTAATAAAACTTTTTAAAAATCGAAGTAACACATGCCACAATTTTAGTCTACGAGTTTAATTTCGTTATGGCGACATCTCGACGGCAAATTGAATACAAAGTAGAATATTCCGCCATAGGTAGGTAGGGTTATCCCCGCGGGGTTTAGATATAATATAAAAAAATAAATCAGCAGTTCCATTGTCAGGAAAGAGAAAGTTCCGCAATAAATCCTTATACGTCGCATAAAATGCGACAATATTTCTCTTTCATACAATATAAAAGGTATTATAACACAATGAATATCAAAAAGGTACACAATAGGATATTTCAGCCAGGTTAATCTATTTGCTGTAACTTTTCTTAGTATTTGAGCATGATACTAAAGCCGGGAAGGAAACCACGAAGGTGAAGGGAAAGAGGCTCTAATCGTATATACAATAAATCAAACATTAAGATGTTTGACTTTTTTTAATCAGTATCTATAAAACATTCATGGAAAAATGTGAAGAATACTTCATCATTTTGGAATCATCACTTCACCTCTTTTAAACAAAGCATTCTTTGATTTGAGATTAGCTTCAAAACATCAATAAAAAATTCATATATATTAATGGACTAAGATTGCTAATGTTGAAATTAAAGAGAGCAAGTTAAAGAAATTATGTGTGTTTATACAGATACATATAATTCAATTAACGTACTACTACCTTACTCTAGCCAAATATACTCGTACATAATTTTTAATCAATTCGGTATTACAGAAGATTCTTTATATCTTTTATACAGTCATTCTTAATTTGAATGCTAAACTTCTGCAGGAAGTTCAAATGAGCTATAGATCAATTATAACTCTTTATCTTCGTGAAGAAGCATATAATAGTTTGAAATAACTGAATCCAAAGGAAGATAAAGTATCAAAAACGTGGCAAGTGTGTCTTAAAAGATCGGTTTCAATGTTTAACGATTTAAAGTGGTTCAGAAACAAAACAAAATTTTTTTGTTTGTTCTTTGGTCATGTAATAAAAAACGATTTACGCTTTAAAATTTACTAGGGTTCCTAGGATAAACAACTTTTTTATATCAAGAATCGAAATATCAACAAAAAAATTTACAAGGTTATGGAACCCCCATTCGAGGTGACACTGTACACAGTATTTTTCAATGCAATTTAGTTCAATCAATAGGTAGAAGAACTTACAAAAAATATGGTGATATAGGAAAAAAATTCTAAGAAAGATAGTGTTTTTTCCTGTGGCGCATAAACGGCGAAGTTAACCTAAAAAATTCATAAAAATCAAAAAAAGTGTTTTTCGCTATTAAAAAAAAATTGAGCTCCAATCGAAAAAAGTTAAATGAAAAAGCTATTAGAGAATAGCTTGTAGCTATTAAAGAAACCTATAGATTCATATTTTAAAATATATCGATTGCTGTATTACTTTTCGAGATATATCGAAAAACCCGTCAAAAATCGACTTTTCTTGTTTTTGCTATATCTTTTGCAAATTAGGGTTTTGAAACTTGTTACTTGCTGTAAATGTAGCCCTCGGCAAGCAAAAATAGTATATTACACCACAATGGCCGAAAATTGAATTTTCGGCCCTGCGCGTCATGATGCCCGAGGCAAAGCCGAGGGCATCATGACGAGCAGGACTGAGATTTCAACTTTTGGCCCGTGTATGTCTTTCTTTTAAATTAAAAAATATTAAAAATTTTTCGAGTTATATCGATTTTTCGAAAAAAAAAATTCAGCTCTTGCTCGACGAATAGTCGTAGAGAAACTAATCAGGACTCATTTTTTTCCTTAAGAGTTGTACTCTCTTGATAAAAAAGAGTGATAACGATTTGATTCACTTCAAGTGTCCAAAAATTACTGAAAAAAGTAAAAATTTTTTGGTCGCGTTTTTCTTGAATATCTTTTTCGATTTTCATATTTTGATAATGTCTATTACAGGAATCGATTGCGCTGGCATTTTTACGCGAATTTAACAAAAAACGTTGCTCTACGACCTTCTGAAGCCGAGATATATATTTTTTTTAATTCCACAGGCCGCTATTTAAGTGCTACCTTACAGAAATTGAAAACTTATATTTAATTGTGCGTCAACCCGATGCATTCGAGCGCGGCGAGCTAACTTAGCGGGCAGCGGAGTGGGGGTAACGCTACTCGCCCGCTCAGAAAACTGCATTCGCGCGTTCAAAAGAGCTCTTACTTTCAAAATCTTCATTATCTCGGCTTCTGGAACACGCACAAAAATCCTTTTGTACTTAATCTGGGGTAGCTCGACGAGATAAACCAAAATATGACGTTTACGACGGCCTCAAAAGCATAATTACCTTTGAAAAATGTAATTTTCCTTTAGTCTAAAATTCTGTCACCGCTTGTTAACCTTTTTATTAGCGAAAAGCCGTTTTTTTTTTACTTTTATGAATTTTTTAGGTTAACTTCGCCGTTTATGCGCTGTAGGTAAAAAACACTATCTTTTTTAGAATTTTTTTTCCTATATCATCATATTTTTTGTTTCCAGGTGGTATCTTTTGTAAATTTAACATTAGACTGTGACAGCTTGATTGGATTAATTGTCTTTTTATTGTTTCCTATTTCCAGGTTCATGGAACGAGAAAAGGACGCCCTTATCCATCGAGCGAACAGCCTGAAGCGGGCGATTCGAAACTTGGTCGAGCACACCGAGCAAGTAGTCGACGAGCAAAATAGACAATCAACCTCAGCAATACCCACTGTTAAAATATCTTTAAGTTCGGATTTAGATAAGGTGGACTCGATAAAAATGGACTCTCTGAAAGTGATGCCCACCATAGAGTCCGGTGGGAGCAGCGAGGCTAGTTCGTGCCCATCGCCGACTAGCTCCATCCTAACTGCCAGGCTAGCCAATCTTTCCCCCATGCCGGACGTCAGAAGGGATTCCGCTTTTGGGAGCGACGACACCGACATGTTAACGCTTCCGGTTCCAGCCGATTTCGCGGACAGCAGGAGGGCTAGTCAAATTCAACAGCAAAGGTACGACTTCCTGATCCATTTTGCACTCAAATGAGCCAGGTTGTCAATGCAATTTCAATTAATAATTCCTCTACTGTAATCATAGAAATACCTGCTTTTAGGCCTTTAAAAAATACACGTTTATTGCTCTCGCTTTTATGGATGTAAATATAAAATATACACAAGAGAATAATAGCACTTTTGTGCATGATAAAACCTGTTACTTCTCTGATCTTATACAAGGTCGTTGATATGTATGGAAACGGTCGATTATCTCCTAAAGTAAGATGACTATGGAAAAATCATAAGACACAAAACGTTTTCGGCCTTTTTTTAAATATATTACAATAAAGAAAAATTAAGTATACAGAATTAGGCAAAAAGTCATAACTTCTTTCTTTAATGGAACACACTGTATATTTTCCATCTTCCAATTCTTCTCGAAATTTCAAACAAAATTCATATAGCACATCATGTACCTAAACTTAACCGTTTTCGAAATATCGAACTTTGAAAATAACTTTTTACTACTTTCAAATTTACAAAAGAAGAGGGCCCCAACGTATGGATATTTATTTGGAAAATAACACAAGGTGGAGGATATGGATATGATTTAATAATTTTATTATTAGTTTTTTTACATAAAAATAAATAGCATAATAGTTCATGGTTGATAAAAATGCATGAAACAAAATAATCTACATTTTAATGAATTTAAATTTTATGAAAATAATATCTAATTATGCCAGAATAAAAAAATAAACCACATATATTTTCAGTTATAATATCACAAGAGCATAGAAAATATTCGATTATACTTCCGAGTCATGAGACGTATTCTGCGAAACACGTGTTTTAAGGTATACGTCGAGTGTGGAGGTTAGTATAATCGAATATTTTCGTTTGCTCGAGTGGTATTCGATACGATTACATAATGAATTAACTAACTTTATTGGTTTTTTTTTGACGTTTATTGACAAATGTTAAAACCACATACTTCTATCTATAGAAGTATGTGGTTATCTATAGAAGTATGTGGTTAAAACTATCGTTACCATGACATAGTTCACATTGTTGGAGGAGGCGAAACACCAAAACGGTTATACCACGTCGTCAAGAGTATAATCGCTTATCAATACATAGTAACTATGTCAAATTTGTAATTGCTATTGGCTAAATTTCTAATGAATTATATAATCATTGGAATTCTATTTTATAAGGTGCTGAAAGTGTTCACCATTTACCTCCTGACAGTAATGAATTCGCTGAACAAAATTTTGTAGTGAATCTAAAAGGGTGTTGGGAATAGTGGAAATTTCATGCCTTATCCTTTCCTGCAAGTCTTCGATATTTTGCGGCCTATTTTAGTAGATTACATTTTTTTATATGACCTCACAGAAAAAAGTCAAGCGGAGTCATATCGGGAGCTTAGCTGGCCATTCAATTGCTCATCTGCGTCCAATCCATTTATCAGAAAGACAAAATGTGGAGGAGCCCCATCATGTTGAAACCATATTTATTCTGCCAGTAAATTGGAATTATTATTGTTCGATTGTCTAAGCTCTGGAAAAATATGTTCTTGCTAAAGTAATAAATATTGTTCAGAGGTCAAATTTCCGTTTATAAAATAGGGTCCTATGACGTGTTCATTAACAATGCCACACCAAACATTTACTTTCTGTAGTCAATGGGTGTGAACTTTCTCCATCCAATGTGGATTTTGGTCTAATCAATACCTACAGTTGTGTCGGTTTACGTGCCCGTCAGAAAACAATATGTGGGTGGTGACAAAGTTGACATTTTCGTTTAATTTATCCATAATAACTTCGCAGAACTCGATTCTACGATCAATCGTCTTCACTCAATTCTTGTAACAAATGAATTACGATTATGCTAGGTACATATGGATGTAATTTTTCCCGTTTGCAAATTTTTTTAATGGAATATCGACTCATGTTATGAAAACCCTCTGTTGTGCCGAATTGATTGGATTTTCCACCACACGACATTCAAAGAATGTTCTTCATTTATAAAGTTTATTGGTCTTCTACTCTTTAGTCGATCTGTAATATCTCCAGTTTCATGAAAACGCTGCAATGTTTTTGAAGCGGTTGATTTAGAAATACGTTCCCGATCGGGATTCAATTCATGAAAAATATCCACTATTTCGTGACAATGTCATCTTCTATCACAATATCCTATGATCATTACAACCAATACGGTTTTGATTAAACTTTGCCATTTTGCCAGAAAATTATTAATACTAAATGTTGTCAAGATAATCACTATTAGACAAAAGAACGACGCGACGTTGTTATTTAGCTAGAAACTTTCATCAGGTAACTTGATGGACTATAAATTTAATAGATAAATATTTTTATATAATTTATAAGAAAATGATATTCAATGTTCGATATCTTGAAAACGGTCAAATTTGTTGTTTGTTTAGAATTTTGGGAAGAATTGAAATATAGAATAATATAAAGAGCGTTCCATTAAAGAAACTGTCAGTTACCATTTTCAATCATAATTGTTTATGTTTGTTTAGTCCATAAGTGTCTAGCAGAGAAAGTACTACATGGCACAGGAATGCAAGGTGTTGCAAATGTTTTGTTCAATTTTTCTTATTAATTTCAATAGATTCCAAGGTACAACAGTTTTAAAATATTATCATCTATGTTTTTAAAAAATTCCGTTACTTTATCAACTATACGTATAAAGCATTACAGCAATGCATATACACCGCACTAAGAAATTAATGCACACTTCTGGAACATGAAAATTGGGATTGTCGCCATAGCCTTGCCAGCATGACTCCAGACCTCAATCCATTGAACATGTCTTGGTCTGACTGGTAGACAATTAAAAGATAATCTGCATCGGCCTAATAACATGGAGGACATGGAATTGATCGATATTCACATTTTTGCGAGTGTGTAATCTCTTATGCGAGGGTGTAATTCCAAATAGAAATTAAAATACCAAAAAAAAAAAAAATTACGGGTTTTCAATTTGTTTTTTATTAAACGTTAATCAAGGGATTATACTGACAAAACATGTTTGTGAAGCTAGTAGTATTATAAATCATTAGAGTATAAAGTTTTAATTTTTTTTATAACACAAAAAATTTTTGTGGCACGAGATAACTTTTGTGCCGAGCGGTTTGGGTTTTTAAAAACAAAGTTTATTTTATTTTTAGAAGTTCACAAAAGTATCGATTGAATTAAAGCCGAAATATACAATAATCTTAAAGTTATGAGTTATTACCAGAGAGCGGACAATTTGTGACTTTAACCTTGAAAATAGATATGTCATTCATAAACCTAGATACATTACCCATGACGCAGTGGCGTGTCGGGTATGCATCGGAAATTTACGTGATAATTCACGAAAATTCCACGGTACATACATTTTTAGGCGTTATAAAATATTTAGAAAATCAGAAATTGTATACTACATATTTATTAAATAAAGTTCGGTTAAAAATAGTGTCGTTCTTTTAATTGGAAATTAGGAGTCAATGTAACGAATAGCCTCAGGCGACGCACATGATAGAATAGTCTAACTCACGCTCCATTCATAACAAGGCTGCAGTTTGAATTCTGACCAATAGGAATTCGATAAACGCAACCGATGTCGACGGATGAACTAGAGATGGGCGCGAGTGTTATTTCATTTCTTTAGTACTAAATTAACTTAATTATTTTCTCCTGTTCACATGATTTATAGATTTTAAATAAAGGATACAACTCTACGCGAGGATAATACGATATATTTGCTATACATAATAATTATATTTTGCATAATTTATACACAATACATTTTTAAACGCGTACACATCTTTACCAAAATTTGACCTATTCTTCGGGTTAAAGACACACATTGTCCGCTCTCTAGTTATTACGTATTACCTCTGAGCAATAACTCAATTAACAATAAACTTTCCCCATATTTATAATAGTAACATAACAAAGTTAATGCTTTAGACTCTAGATCATAATACTAAATCAGCCCCCTGAACAAACCCAATCCTCGACTACTATAACCATTAACAACAATTATATTTTTCACTGACATTCCAATATCGAATTTGGGACACGCAGTAGATAAACTTTATACAATTAAACTTTTAAAGTTTAATTGTATAAATCCCCATCTCGTTCGCGTCAAGGAATTCTCATGTTTCGCTTTTTTTGCAGCATAGACACAACAACGGAGAGTATCCTAATAGAAACCGCCTCGACACTAATTACGATAGAACTCGAACAAAAGACCATCGAAGAGGAAGTCGAAGTAGAGAAGGAACAGCAACAACGACGTGACAGTACAAAATACGAAAACGAATTAGAAAAAAACGTAGACGACGAGAAAGAATGTAGTAGTATCTTATCCGCCATATCAAACGAGGAAGTAAGCATTACCTCGGAGATCCTGGACCAAAAATCTTTTGTACCACGGAAAGATAGCGACGGTGAGGATCTGAACGGTCATATTTGTCATATCGATTCCCCTGAAACTGACACTTACCCAAACTCGGACATCATCCATGGTGAGTCTTTAATGGATGATATTAGTTCGATGTTAGGTGAGGTGTATGGATACGGTCAGGATAGTATCGAAAATACTTACACTGACGACACGACGTTGTTTCCGAGCGATATAGGTAAGAACGACAATCACCTTTACCGCTCCCCAATAACGCCATGCCCTGAGTGAACACACCCTCGCACCAGTACTTCGTCTGTATTTGCTACCAGACATTTTCTTTCCTTCACCCAAAATCGAACAGTCACTAGAAAATTCAAATTAAATTAAAATTATTATTAAACATTTGCATTTTAGAATATTATTAAGAATTTTAATAAAATTATGTTTTTCTTACACCGGTTTTAGGTGATAGAATACATTTTCTGCCCAAAATTTATGAAGAACCTTTAAGGTCGAATGCAATTTTTTTCTCTAATCTATCAAAATAAGCAAGACGTTTTAGTCAATTTTGTTTGTAGATCACAAAACATAATTCTTATAATTAAAGATAATGTCAAAACTTGATTTGCCCCTACCCCCTAAACAAAATGGTGCGCTACTTAATGAATTACTGAATTAATTTATAAATTCATGTGTTATTATAATAAAGCACTGCAGCTCTTTTACAACCTAGCTTGGGAAAAATTACTCTTGTCGACTGGTTGTTGTCTTTTTATATTCATTGGCACAATTTTTTCTTATGAAAACTTTGAAATTAGATACAAGTATGTGTAATGTTAACAGTTTGGGTTATTTTTATTTATAAATTTTAAAAGGTATAAGAAAAGTGATTTTTCTTAAATATATTATTTCCATATTTATTTAAAAACATTACATTTTTTGTATCAAAATTTTGTCATATAAAACGGCTCCTAGTACCATTTTATTCCAATATTTTTATTTATAAAAGGTGCCCCAAAAGAAACGGCGGATTTCATATGAAAAAAAATATTTTATTAATTAAAAAGTTAGCAAAATTTTTACATGTTTTTAAAGGGTAGACATTTCCAGTAAATATGAAAGAGGATATCGGATAGATGCCCTCCGCGACTCTTTTGGCATACTCTACTTCTTTTAGGAAAATTCTGTATCAAGCTTACCTGCGACTGAATTTTGTTGATAACTCTCCGAATTCCTGCCTTTAAATCAAGAATGGTATTCATTTGAGCAGAATAAACTCTGGACTATACGAATACCCACAGGAAAAAGTCGCATGGCGTAAGATCGCATGATTTTGGTGGTCAACTCGCTTCACTGTTACATGGGATGAATGGTTCATTAAATTTCTGCCGTAACAAGTTGATAGTTTCACATGCCGTCTGGCAGATAGCACCATCCTGCTGGAATCACATATCATCCAAATCCATACCATCCAAATAAGGTCACGAAAATATCCAATAGCATCTTTCGATATTTCCGTATTTCTGCCACACTATCTCTTACCATAGTAATGTTTTCGGCTGAACGGCCAGTATGAGGCCGACCTGTTTTTTTATTGTTTGCATCCGAACCTGCTTCTTCAAATTTAGCAACTAATATTTTCACAGCTGTTTCATTGAGCGTTCCTTGCGCACAGTCTCAGCTACACTTTACTACTACTACTACTACTACTACTACTACTACTACTACTACTACTACTACTACTACTACTACTACTACTACTACTACTACTACTACTACTGCTACTGCTACTACTACTACTACTACTACTACTACTACTACTACTACTACTACTACTACTACTACTACTACTACTACTACTACTACTACTACTACTACTACTATTATTTTAAACCTTAACACACCCACATGTCGAAAAGAAACATGTATAGGAACTTCTTTTGTTAATTTTTGATCTGCCCAAGAACTGAATAAAGATTTTAAGTTACAGCTCGCTATTTCATGAAGAAGCTTTTCTCATCTAAACGGTAAACACATATTTGTTTGTTTTGTCGTAGAGAAAGACAGTCTAGAGAAAATACGGCATATATCCAATTAACTACGGCACTGAACCTGCATAATATCTTGATTGCGATCTGAATATATTTTCGTCAATCTATTCTGATTGGTGTTAGTGATTACAATCAAACCTAACTGTTATAAACTGATATAGTTCTAACCTCGAGTATACTACAGCGCCAGCGTAACTTATATAAAGTCTTTCAATATGAAATCTGTCGTATAGAACCTTCAAATACAAATCAAAAAGTCGTTTTCATTACCAAGTATAATAATAATAATGTACTAGTAGCTAAACTTTTGTAAAAATGTCTTGGTTTCCAGATACTAACGAAGCACTGGTGTTAAGTATACGTAAAGTATAAGTAAAATTTCGAGGGCATTTAACTGCTGTCATATAACGTGAACATAAATGATTTTCCTTTTTTTAATATTCAATTATTAAACGATCTTTATCGGTCCCATTATAAACGATTACACAAAGTTGTCAATTTATTGGCATTTGGTTTAAGTAAATTATAGACTATATTATAATTATAGACACTGGATAACAACGCGTTTAATTTAAAAAAGTGACAATCATTTACACTCACGATATTGTATTTTACTTTACCAATAAGTATATTTTCAAACTATACCTACCCGACTATCTACAGTTACCATTATTACAATCACGACAATATTTTTTTTATAAATAAACATAAAGTCCTGTTTAAATATTCAAATAGAAAGATTTTTTAAATTAATCCTAATCACTTATTTTAAAAATCATTGATTAATGCTTTGATATCTTAAAAATAAAACAGTATTGTATTAAAAAGTTCCTAAGAGCTCTTAAACACGTTTTGCGTTTACCTTTGTTGTAAATTTCCTAGCTTCAACAAATTGGCCAAAAAATTGGAGACATAGAACAGATTCTAATTTATTGGCCAATTTTGGGGATTTTTAGTAACTTTTAATATTTCTGTAGTTACATTCTTGCATTTTGACACTTACCTCCCTCCCTCTCCATTCTTCGTGACACTTAATAACTGACACTATCATGGTGGGTCGTAGTAAATAGCCACTATATGTGGGTGATTTGCCAAGTCGATAGCCTTAAATTTGTCCAATAAATTGTCAAATTTCTTGAAACGTGGTTTTAGGTGCTCCAGATGTACCGAATTGTGACAATTTCTTGACCAGTTTAATACATCAAGAACTGTTAAATAACTAAACTTATTCATCGTTTACATAATTTTGTGGTTGTTCTTCGATTTGATTTTAAAAAGACAACAATTTTTACATAATTATAAAAATAAAACAGTCCACTCTTTAATGACCTTTATTTAATCATAATGCTTCCTGTTGAGGATGTACTTCTTAGATGTCATTTATACTCATCATAAATAGTAAGTTTTAAAATATTTCTTGTCGAAATAACTGGGAAATGAAGAATCGTTATAAGCCTCGAAATATCTTTTTATTTTCTTGAATTTCAATCCAGTAAGCAAAGGTTTTTTTCCAAGAAAAAAATGTAGAAGTTTTTTCTCGCCGGTTCTATATGTTTTTTGAGGTGCTGAATCCGAATCTGAGGTTTCCCACCTCGCCAGACGTCGGCTTTACAAGGAAAATTGCAAAAACCTCAAATTTTCGGCACTTTTTTCAGTTTTTTAACTATAACTCGAAAACTAAGCGTTTTTTGATGATAACTATGATATACCAAATTAAAGTAGACAAAATTTCCTACAAATACGTATAATAACTCTAAAGTCTGGACAATCCATAACATGAATATCTGCTATCGCCTTATACATTAAAGTAAGTAACAAATAAGACAATCACCACACTTCCCTACATTAAGGAAGCTCTATGGATTGATTCGTCTCATATTTTTTCAGCTAAAACATTTATACAGGATGAGTCGAGAGGATCGCACTAAACTCCACTAATATATTCTACTCATCAAAATAATAAAAAAACTGAAATGTTGTTATGCGACTTTCATTAGTTTTCAAGCTATGACGTACATTTCAATAAAAAAAATAATTTATTAATATCCTATAGCGTTATTTGATTAAATGTTTAAAAACATCGCCATTGACCTCTAAATACTTTCCGTAACAAAAGGCATCTGTAGCTCGCCTGATTGCCGCATATCTAGCTTTGTACACGTCATTTTTTAATCAACCGCATACACAGTAATCTAGTAGTGTGAGATCTGAAAATATTGAAGGGACCAATAACCATGATACGCTTTAGGCCCGGCACTTTGAGTCTCAATTAAGGCTTAACTAATCAGGCGATTAGACTGTGATTATACTTTATAAAATAAATCAGTACATGTACAGTCTAATCATCTGATCAGTTAATCAACCTTTAACCGAGAATCAAACTACCCGGCCTTAATCGTACAAATGTGTAATCAAATGTTAAATTATTGCAACATAAAATGACACTGACAAATATCCTACTTTTTTACTGGAAACATGACATATTCTGATTTCAGATTTTTTAAATTACGCTCTCTATAATTGAAAACAAATGAAAATCATTTTGAATTTTTTCTTATTATATTGACGTGTAGAATCCATTCTCCCGACTCACCCTGTATTATTGTCACCAATATTATCGTCATAATTTTAAGCGTGCCACTCTATATTACTCGTACAGTAATATAAAGTTGATTCAATTTATTTTCGCTACATCTCCGTTTCATAATAAAGGATAATACGCCACGACCCAAGTTTCTCTTCAATTACCGATGATGCATCATCCATCATCCACCGAATTAACGGTTCTTTAGCCCTCCTATTTTTCCATTTTGTTTCACCATCCAGCTGTAGTTAAGTGTTATCCCATTCATAAAATGAGCAATCTTTTGAAGGTGATAAATTGAACCGTAATAGTAATGCTTATTAAACCGTAAAATAAAGCGTTTATTGTATTTAGTTGATGAATAAAATTTATTACGTTCACGAATTTGGATTAAAACTACGAATTTTTAGGCTGTTTTTAATATACAGTATGTTCCAACAAAAAGTAAACACCTTTGAATCTGTACAGGACAGTTTTTTGGAAAAATTGCCGCACTTTTTGTCTTCTAACCGTGTTGCCTTTTTAAAAATCTATCTACTGTATTACTGTATAAGGTGCTACTAATTATTTTTTAAATTACCTGTATGTTTTTTATTATTA